CAGTTGCCAGTTATCGACTGCACTGTCACAGTATGAAGAAAGTACTGCCAATAACCGGCAATTGTCAGAAGACGGATCAGCACCGATCATCAGGGCACTGATCATCAGTGCCCTGATGATCAGTACCCAGCAGTGCCACCCACCAGTGCCACCCACCTGTGCCCAGCAGTGCCACCCACCTGTGCCCAGCAGTGCTACACACCTGTGCCCATCAGTGCCTAGTAGTGCCACCCAGCTGTGTCCAGCAGTGCCACCCACCAGTGCCCAGCAGTACCACCCATCAGTGCTCAGCAGTGCCACCAGTCAGTGCCGTCAGCCAGTGCCACCCATCAGTGCCGCCTATCAGTGCTGCCTATCAGTGCTCATCAATGCTACCTCATCAGTGCCAGCTCATCAGTGCTGCCTATCCGTGCCACCTCATCAGTGCCGCCTATCAGTGCCCATCAGTGCCACCTATCAGTGCCCATCAGTGCTGCCTATCAGTGCAGCCTCATCAACGCATATCAATGAAGGAGAAAAATTACCTGTTTCCAAAATTTTATAATAGAAACAAAGAAAAACTTTTTTTTCCCAAAATGTTTGCTCTTTTTTTGTTTATAGCACAAAAAATAAAACACCCAGTGGTGATTAAATACCACCAAAAGAAAGATCTATTTGTGTGAAAAATAATTATAAAAATTTCATATGGGTACAATGTTGCATGACCGAGCAATTGTCATTCAAAGTGCGACAGTGCTGAAAGCTGAAAATTGGCCTGGGCACGAAGGGGGTAAAAGTGCCCGGTAGGCAAGCGGTTAAGGCTAAACCACTTCTCCAAGTTCATTGAGTGACCCTGTGTCTTCTTATTTTCCCTGAAACTGAATAGTTTATTTCCTAAGCTAGAATCAACACTGAGGTATTTATATAGCGCTGTCATATCTCCTCTCAAGCGTCTCTTCTCCAGGGAGAATATGTTTAGTGTTTGTAGTTATTCCTCTTAACTGATGTCCTCCAGTCCCATTATTAACTAGGTAATTGAGGGTTGTGCCAAGTTTAAAATTTAAAGAAATGATTTGGCTTAAAACCAGACATGTGCTAACCTAACTGTGATTTGATCCCTCCACAGACAGCCAAAAGGATAAGCAGTAGAAATGAGACTCTTCCTCTATTCTGGTTCTTTGACTCTCTTTGTACTTCATGATGGACACCCATTGCAATTATCTTTTTGGTCTCACACCAAAAATACCCCATCATCTTCCAACATGAATACTTACCTTTATCCCAATGTAAAAAATTCTGGATGCGGGCTTTCTTTGTGCAGTTCACCGTATAAGATTGTCTGGGGCTGCCTCCTGTCCCCTTTTGAATGAGTACGCTTTGTCTGGAAGTGAACTTATATTTTAATGCTGAACTCCAGGCAAATAGCCAAATAAATATCAAAAATTCATACTGTATACTGCACATAAGCTGTCCTGCCTGTCAGGGTTTGTAATAGTGCTTAGCCAGTCCTCCAATCCAGACCCCCTTTTCAGGCAATACTGCAAGGCTCATGACTACTCTTTTCTCTGCTGCCATTAAGCAACACAGCTTGGTCACAAACCTGCTCCAAAAAACAGCACAATAATAAGATCATCAGTTTGCTCATTCCTCCCCTAATTTAAGTGCTGTTATGCAAAGGATTACAGGACAGTCATATAACGAATAAATCAAGTATTTTATACAAATATAGTTTTCCTTATTTTTTTGTTGAATACATAACTAGCTTAAATTGAGATATTTGCACTGGTCTGCAGTTAATTATAAGATATAATATGGTCTTCATTCTGTTTAAACTGAATAAGGATTAAAAAGTGTATAGGATGACAAGATAAGTAAAATAATAATAGAAGTATATGCAATTTGGTATTGAAATGTAAAAAGATGCCCAAGCAATCAACAATCATCTTCCATTATTTTGACTAAAAACGGATTGGTTGCTTTGGGTAACTTTGCCATTTTCAATGTCCCATGTACTACCTTTGAGTATACGCCTCAATGTGGGTGTTTTTCGCAATGGTGTGCAGCTGAAAAAAAAATCATGCTTTGCCATCATTTTACTCTGGCATTATACTCATGATTAATATATTAAAATGTATCATTAGTTACTGGTTTCAACACAATTGTAAGTTCTGTTCTTTCCCTGCATAAAAAAGTTCTCTGGAGCAAATATTGCAGAATTTCCAATTTCTTGATGAAGTGTGACTAAGTAAAAACATGTCTAGTTTCCTGAGGAAGCCTAGAGATTTCTCCTTGAATTTTAATGAGTCTAAATGACTGACAAATACAGAGGAGCATAGTTTAATGATCTTGTGTGCTATTCCTCCAAAGCACATGTATGGTAAGGGTAAAAAGTTAGACTGTTGTTCGGAAACACACTTCAGAGGGAAAAAACTAACATTTCCTTTGATCTTGTGAGTCCTTCAGGGGGATAGAAACTCCTTTTATTTCAAGGAACACGTAATGTAAAGAATATGTCTGCCAGGCTTGGCACAAAGTTCTGTTGCTTTGCTTTTTTTTATATTTCCTCCATTGAAGTAATCCAGATGCTGATGCAAACACATCTGGATAAAGAAGGGATTTTATGTGACTGCTAATGCCTTTTGTTCCTATTGAAATATGTACCAATTAGAGTAAGATACGATTTTTTTTTACTTTGCAGATACAAAATTAAAGTTAAATTTGTTACTATGGCTTCCTCATTAGATTTTGTTAAAGGAAATCTGTACTGGGAGAAATTTGGGGACTGCCATTTGTAAGCACTCCTTCTGAAAATTCTATTTGCCTGTCTTTGCCTTAGTGTATTCCTAGTCAATGACCAAGTATGGCAGCTGCAGAACTAATATATGCAGGTTTTCTTTCAAAAATATATTTTACAAACCTGACGTCCATGTCAACATACTCATCCTCTTACAGCTCTAGCCATTGTAGCTTGTGCTACAATCCTCTACATATAGTGCATTTGAAGCTGTTATGATGGTGCATGCAGATAATTGTCTTGACTTCAAGGGGTCTACTTATTATAAATTTGTTGGACAAATGTGACATGCCTTCACCCATTCTTGACAAATTCTGGGGATATTTTTCCTTTATACATTGATACCCTATGATTTTCAGCTATAGCTACTGATTATAATGTGGTATTTTTTCTGATTGAAGTATTGCCCCCAGATGGAGCTGTCAATCATAAATAATCACTACGTTCAAAATATATGGCCAGAATTTGTCAGGGATGGGCAAATGCTTGTCACAATAATCTCTCTCCCCTATAGCAGTTTTACTGCTACAGGGTGGACTCCCTGTGCAAAATCACGGGCATATATGTGATCCGTGCTCCCACTATGCTCACAGGCAGGGGGCATGCATGCGCAGGACCAGTGGTTCTGTGATTCTATACAGCACCTACCAATCATCAGATTCAGGCCAATGATGTCAGACTGGCCCTGCTGATCGGCTATACTGAATCAAACCTCAGCCTGTGCCTGTGTTTACATTACACAGGCACAGAAAAAGATTCAATCTTCTTTTCCTGGAGCACATTCTGTTCCAGAGAGAGAAAGAATCCAGTCAAAGCAGAACACTTACACAGTAAAAGCACTTCTTGGTCACGTTTAACCCGCTGATCGCCCCTCCCCCTCATTAAAACTTTTACTGCCCTGTCACCAGTGTCATTATTACAGTGTACAGATTTTTTTTACTGATCACTGTATTAGTGTCACGGGTGACTTCAGATAGCATTGGCGTCAGTTAGCATCCCTCCCAGATAACGTCAGATTGCCCACCACTACATCATTCAATCACATTTAATCCCTTTGATTTCCAGGAACACGCTCACATACACAATAAACCTCCATTGCTAGTATAGTGTCAGAATGGATCAATATCTTTGATTAGATCAGAATTATACCAGCGTTCACAATAGTGAAGTGTCCCCAAAAATGCAGCGTTAGTATCAGCCCAGACATCTGCCAGCACCTGCGTTTAGCACCTACGCTTAGCCCCCCCCCCTTCTCCCCCTAGCAAGTGCAGTATCATTAGATCACTGTCACTTGATACATTGCACACAAAACTGATTGCCAGGAACACACTCACATACACAATAAACCTCCATTGCTAGTATAGTGTCTGAACGGATCAATATCTTTGATCAGATCAGAAGCATACCAACAGTCACAATAGTATAGTGTCCTCAAAAATGCATTAGTAGGATCAGCCCCCACACCTGCCAGCATCTTTGTTTAGCCCTACGCTTAGCCCCACCTTTCTCCCCTAGCAAGTGCAGTGTCTGGAGGGTTAGCAAGATCAGGCCTGATCTCTGCTAGCACTAGCAGGTATTTTTTTTTTAGTGGTTCAAGCAGTCCCTGACAGCCGGGTGCTCTTTTTCCCGTGAGTCACACTAGGTAAACAAAGGATTTCCCAGCAACACTTACCAGCCAGCCTGCAAAACAACCAATTTGGCCCTGTCTAACAGTTTTCATAAAAAATAGAGGGTTTTGTTTGCACACACTTGCAAATACCCTTAACCTATCCATTGATATATGCGTTTCTACTATGGAGGCTCTTTAAATGTTATAGTTAGGTCCACAGTTTGTGATGTGCATTGCCCTTCCATGTGCACCTTATTGCTAAGGCAGGTTATAGGTTGGGACGATGGCCATTTTTTGTGGAGTTGCATTAGGTACCTACAAATTTAGTGGCCAAAATGTTTAATGAAAGGTACACTAGTGAAGAGGCCTACAGGATTCTGAGTATGTTAGATGACAGTGAAGGGGAAGCCTCACAGAATCAGGCTCAGAATACAAACCTGTAGAGAGCAGTGGCACCGTGACAGATAACTGAGACGATGGAGTAGAGGTCCCTGATTGACATCAGGTGTACCTGACCCTATGAAGCTGAAATTCTAGGAATGCATGAATTGTCTCATATGCTGCAGTGCCGGTACTAGTGCCACTCTACCTTTCGGTGAACTGCCGAGCACCCTCGGCCTAGTACATCCTGGTCTTTTACATACCAGCACTGCAGTATCACTTGGTGACATAGCAAGTCCCATAAGTGCAGTACAAGCTGGTGCGGTGACTAGCACAATTAGTGCCCCGCAGCCACCAAGAATTCAAACACAGGCCTGTAGAGCCCATAGTGTCCTTCCGGATGTGCTTGAAAATTCTGATTGGCAACACACAAATTCTGCAGCACCAGTAAGTACTTCCCTGTTCACTGCTCAACCCAGAATTCAAGTGGAAACAGCAAACTTAACTACTCCCTTTGTTTTTTTTGGAGCTGTTTTTCACGAAAGGATTGATTGTGGATCAAAATAATTTAAACGCACAACAATTTATAGCTCCCAACCCAAATTTATACCTTGCCAGGCCATTTGAAATTTGAGTTTATTGGATATTTTTTAGAACAGAAATTAGAAAATATCTTTTTTTTTTTTTCCAACATTTTTGGTCTTTTTTTTTTGTTTATAGTGCAAAAAATAAAAAAAAAAACAGGTGATCAAATACCACCAAAAGAAAGCTCTATTTATGGGAAACAATGACATCAATTTAATTTATGTACCATATTGTATGACCACGCAATTGTCAGTTAAACTAGCGCAGCGCTGTATAGCTAAAAATGGCATAAATTGCAGTATCAATACCATAGTGTGTAGACACTATAACTGTCACATAAACCAATTAATATACACTTATTGGGTATTTATTGGGATCAAATACCACCAAAAGAAAGCTGTATTTGTGTGAAAAGGGACATAACTTTTGTTTGGGTACAGGGTTGCATGACCACACAATTACCAGTTGAAATAGCGTTGCGCCAAACAGCAAAAAATGACCTGGTCAGGAAGGGGGGTAAATCGTCTGGAGGGCTAGTGGTTAGTTAAAATCCCTATAATTTTGAAAGTGTCTGGGTCCCTTTGGGTCCACTTTATTTTCTCAAAGATGCAACAGGAAATGAGAGGCAATCTTACAAAATTAAAATATTTTCCCTCTTGGAAAGTGGTTGAAAAAAACAAATGCCCCCATTGGAAGATTTACCCAACACTCTGGTGATAACTGAATTTTCCTTCACTTTCTGTCTCTCTGTCATTCGTAGAGGGTGAATCTCCACAGCTGGGACACAGAGAGCAATAAACACCTAACAGGGCTACTAATCTTTATTAACGTGTTTTCAAACAAAATTTAAAAAAAGTTTGGCTTTGGATAAAATTTAAGAGAGAAGTGGATCCTAGGATTTGTCCAAGTTGGAGCTATCCCCCATTGGCTCTACACTGAGAACTGAGTGATCAAAGAGAGTTGAGTTCTCGGGTGTGCTCTTACCACAGAGATATAGGCTATTTTCAGTCACTTGCTCTGTGCTCCACCCCTCCAGCTCTCACTGAAGCGCTGGGCTGTGGAGGGGAGCGGAATTGGCTGGCTCTGGCTCTCAGTGGTGCGTGAGAGGCTGAGCCAGCTGCCAGTCAGGCATCTGGGTGGATCCTGACAGTTATTGTCTGGCTCTGTGATGTCAGCTGACAGTGGACTTTAGCCTGGGACACAAGCATGCAGAACTAAGTGTGATGTACTGGAGAAGTATGACTAAAAGACCTTTGGCCATACTTAGTTAGGGCCCATGCACAATAACATTTTTTTAAACTCAAAAAATGCTGGAAAAAGCACTGGATAAAAAACCCTAAGCAGATACCAAAACAATTATGTGTTCATAAAATAAATCCTTAAAGATATTTTTAAGTCATTAACCACGTTCAGGCTGCCCACCTGCAATGTACTGCGGATGGATGGTAGCAGCAGCACCAGTGACGTACCCGTACGTGGCTGTTTATTTCTTAGTTTCAAGCTCATATGCACACGCCCCTCCACTGTCATTCGCTTTAGGAGATGTATTTGTACATACAGGCACAAGATTTGATTTAATAGCCCTTTGATAACGTGTCCTGTACACGAAACGCGTCAGGGAAGTGCCCCCTTACTGGTTTACTGCACCGAATTGCCTGCTAAAGACATTTTGGAAAATTTCTATGTGTTACTCTTATCTATGTGCATCCCCATTATTAAAAGATACTACACTATCAGAGGCTTTGTCTGGGGCTCTTTTTTGTATGGGAGCCCCTACTTCTTGAAGGTTTGCCTGACTCCTGCTTATTTGAAGTCTGATGTCTGGGATGACAACCCCCCCCCCCCCCCCCGGTGGCTGTGATTGGAATTTCCGGTGGCTCTCTATGGATCCCTGATGTATGACACCTGGTGGCAGCAATATAGATGACCACATCCACATCCAGAGTACCAGGAGTAGGTCTTATATACTCCATGCGCAAGCATTTCATCTATCTGGTTGTAGTGTAATCTATACTCACTTCCACCATTACAGGAGTCACGGATTTTCTGCTTTGTTCTGCACCGTCAACTTGTGGACTTTAGTTACTGCAATTATCACGTTTGACACTGTCTTCTATATACAATTATCACGTCCGACACTGTCATTTATATGCATTTGTATTCCCTTATGGCTACTAGAGCTGCATTGTTTATTTATGGTTTACAAGATTTAGCTGGTTCTTCTCTCCCTTGAACCATTTTGTTCCAGAGAGAGAAGAGACATCACATGTGAGTAAAAGCAGCACACTGCACCCACACACCTTAGATAGACACATTTTAACCCCTTGCTTGCCACATTAATCCTTTGATTGCCCCCTGTTACCCTGCCATACTAGTACAGTGTCAATGTACAGTATTTTTCACTGATCACTGTATTAGTGCCACTAGCGACCTCAGACAGTGTCAGAGTCAGTTAGCACCCCTCCCAGGCAGAGTCAGCTATCAAACTCACGCTATAGATCGCTGATCACCATCATTACTAGTATAGTGTTTGTACGGATCAATATATTGATCACGAACAAAACTATACCAGTGCCCCCTTTAGTATTAGTGTCCCCAAAAATGCAGTGTTAGCAGGATCAGCACTGTTCGCTGCCAGCACTTGCGTTTACCCCCAACGCTCCCCCCAAAAAGTGTAGTGTCAGTGTAATTTCTGATCACAGTCACCTGTGATACATTGCACACAAAACCATAATGTTAGCAGAATCAGGCCCGAATCTAACACTAGCAGGTGAATTTTATTGGTAGCGGTTCAATCAATCCCTGACAGCCAGGTGCTCTTTTTCCCATGAGTCGCACTAGATGCCTATAAATGTAGAGCCTAAAATGTCCCAAAAAAGGTACACTAGTGAAGAGGCCTATAGGATTCTAAGCATGTCAGATGAGAACAAAGTGGAAGTGTCAGGAATCCCAGAGATCACCACGGTGCACGAATCTGCACAGGCGTAGGATCCCGACAAGACATACAGGCAGGCGGGCACTAGGACCCAGGCATGCCTGTCACCAATGATGGCTGGGCAGGCACTAGGACCCTTTCGGCGCCGGGCGGGCTATTTAAACAAGCTCATGCAATGCTCGTGCAATGCTCCTGCGTGAGATAACTTGTTGCCGACCCTGCTTGATCCTGACCTCTGCTGACCGTCTCCTGCTCTGATCCCTGGCTCGTCTGACTATTCTTTTGCTTACTCCTTATTACCTGACCTCCTGTTGCTGAAAGCTGGCTTGTGACCCAACTACTCTCTGTCCGCTGCTCTGTACCGTTCTGCCTCTGCTGTTACCGACCTGACTACGCTACACGTACTCTATCATCCATCCATCCTGCACGGATCTGGTCACACCACTGCCCAGGTCTGCCAGCCTCTTCACATCAGGCTCTCTTCCGATACATACCTCCGGCGGTTCCCTCTACCACAATTGGGTGCACTCAGGGGTCGCGACCTGGTCTCAGTCTGCTCTAAGTCCATCCCCACCATCAGGTGCCCTGGTGAATAAGCAGATTGGGGCTTAGACCCCACGCCCTGGGGAATCCCGTTCTGTGGGTTGCTAGTGATACCGCCGGGTGGATCATGACAGGAAGCCTTTCTGACAGAATCCGCCTCAGAATACGAATCTGCAGAAAGCAGCACCAGTACTTCCTCCATTCACTTCCCAACCCAGAATTCAGGTGGAAACAACAAATTGAACTACTCCTCTTGATTTTATGGAACTGTTTATCACAGAAGATTTGTATAATATGATTGTGGGCCAAAGCAATTTGTACTCACCACAATAAATCGCCGCCAACCCAAAATCAGCTCTTGGCAGACCATTTGTATGGAAACCTATTATGGTTTCTAAATTTAAAAAACTTTTTTGGGCCTAACCTTCAACATGGGCATCACAAAAATGAATGAGTTGTGGTCATATTGGTCCACTGACTAAATTCAGCATATACCCATGTTCCCTGCTGCCATGGCCAGATGTAGATATGAGACAATAATGCGCTTCATGCATTTAAAAGATAACATAGTCTGTTTTCCTCGGGGTGACCCTGAACATGAACGGCTCTACAAAATTCTGCCCCTCATAAACCACCTCACTGAGAAATTTGCATATGTGTATACGCCCCAGCAAAACATCTGTGTGGATGAGTCCCTCATTCACTTTACTGGCCACCTTGCATTCAAACAGTACCTCTCCAGCAAGCATGCCACATATGGGGTAAAATTGTATAAGCTCTGTGAGAGGGCTCTGGCTATACACACAATTGTAGGGTTTAGGAGGGAAGAGACAGTGAAGTAGAGCCCCCCTCCTTCCGACTGCCCAGACTATATGGGGAGCAGTGGCAATATAGTATGGGACTTGGTGTTGTCTTTGTTCCAGGGGTACCATTTACATGTGGACAATTTCTACACAAGCATGCCACTATTTAGACATTTGTACAACCTTGGAATTGGCTCATGTGGCACTATGCAACCTAATCACTGAGGCTTCCCCCAACGGTTTGTAAACAGCCGACTTAGAAAGGGGGAGAAAGCCTGCTTAAGAAATTATAAATTGATTGCAGAGAAGTGGAAGGACAAATGGAATGTGTTCGTCCTGTCTTCAATTCATGCAGACACATCCATCCAAATTTCCACAGCATCTGCCGTTGTTGAGAAAACCCTCTGTGTCCACATCCTTAACATGGGAGGGATGGACTTCAATGACCAAATGATAAATTCGTACCTAATTTCCCGGAAAGCTTGACACTGATACAAAAAGGTGTCTATTTATTTATTTAAATTGGCTATATATATATAACGCTTTTGTAGTTTACAAAGCAACTGGACAAAGTGGATCCTTCCTAAAATTTCAGGAAGAGATCATCACAGCCCTTTTGTATCCAGAAGGTGCTGTGGCCCAATTCACAAATCCAGATTCAGTGCGCCGGCTGCATGAGAGGCATTTTCCGGATGCCCTCTCTGATACCACAACCCAAAGGTCAACCCAAAGAAGATGTTGTGTCTGTAGCAGACATGGAAGAAGACGCAATGCTTGCTTTTTTTGTCCCTCCTGTCCTGGCCAATCTGGCCTCTGCCTCAAGGACTGATTCCGTCGCTACCATACACTAGTGGAGTATTAGTATAGGGTACAGCACGGCACAGTCTAGGGCACATATTCACCATATTCACACAGGGTCTCAAAAGATGTTAGATAGTCAGGAAAATGTCAATCACATTTTGAGGGACCCGAAAATAAGAGGCTGTTCCTAAAAGTTTCAAAAAAGTAAAAAAAAAAACATTCAAAGTTAAAAACTCAAAAAAGTTGTTTTATTGAGTTAATGTTCTATTGTTACTTTGTTTTATTATTAACCATTGCCGTTTGCTTTGCAGGAACACCACTCAGCTGCAGCACCGATATGCTTCGGCACATATATTTTTTCTTTCTGGCAGAGATTTCAATAAAAATAGTTGTCTTTTTATTGAGTTAATGTTCTATTGTTACTTTTGTTTTATTGTTAACCATTGCTGTTTTGTTTGCAGGAATGCCATTCAGCTGCAGCACCGATCTGTTTATTCTGACAGCAACAGAGTCTTGCTCTCAGAATACACATCAGTGCATGCAGTGCTGTTGGATGAGGTTTTTCATCCGCAGTTAAAAAGAGAACATATATGCCCAAGCATGGGGGCCTGGGGTGGTCAGTGGGTTGATCGCCCCTACACTTCAGCTTTTTTTTTTTTTTTTTTTTCTGGCAGAGATTTCTTCCTTCACACTGATATAAACAATTGCAACACCCACCATTGTATTCTCTAGGGTGTGTGCTTTTAAAAAAATAGCTTAGGGTGTCTACTTTCCAAAAAAGGGTCATTTGAGGGGGGGTGCTATCCTGGAATTTCAGAGCCTTTGAAACTGTAATAGGTAGTAAGGAAGTGAAATGAGGGGTCATTGGATTTCAGGCACCTGTATGCGGCTAGGCTGCCAAAAAAGTCTCTCACATGTGGTATCCCCATATTTAGGAGAAGTAGCAGAATATATTTTGGGGTGTAATTCCACATATACCCATGGCATGTGTGAGCAATATATCATTTTAAGTGACAACTTTGTGTAAAAAAAAAAAATTTTGTTTTTGGTAATTTTCCAAAATCTTGGAGAAAACAAATAAATCTTCCATGGATTCAACATGCCTCTCAGCAAATAGCTTAGGGTGTCTTCTTTCCAAAAAGGACTAATATGGGGGTGTCTGTACTGGCCTAGCATTTTAGCACCTCAAGAAATGTGATAGATGATCAGAAAGTAAACGCCGCGTAAAATCCAATATATGTACCATAGTTTGTAGATGTTATAACTTTCACACAAACCAATTAATATACACTTATTGGGATTTTATTTAATAGAAAGTAGAAAATGTCATTTTTTTGCAAAAATGTTGGTATTTTTTTGTTTATATCACAAAAAATAAAATCCCAGTGGTGATCAAATACCACCAAAAGTAAGCTTTGTTTGTGTGTAAAAAGAACATAAATTTTGTTTGGGTACAGCCTTGCATGCCTGCCCAATTATCAGTTGAAATAGCGCAGTGCCGAATAGCAAAAAAATGGTCTGGTCATTAAGGAGGGTAAATCTTCCAGAGGGCAAGTGGTTAATAGAATCATTTGTAAGGTTTGTCAGAATTTTTTTTGCAAAGTGAAATTTTCCATTTAGACATAGTGTTCGCAGTGTTGTTTTAGTGTCTTTGAGATGTATCAGTCTTGACTGAGCTGTCTCCATTGTTTTGTAGATTAAAATTGATGAAAACAAAATGAAATGTTATTTCATAAATAATTAAGAAGCATAGGCACTGAGAACCAACATTTGGACTTACCAGCAGGTATACTTAATGACTCTCTGTATTAGCATTATGTTGTTTTTATTTTGTGAACTATCCGTTAGACGAAAAGTGGAAGAGGACGCTTGCATTTAAAAACTGCCTGTAAACAATATACCAGATCAACAAAAAATATATGAATACATACAACCTTTACTATTATCAGTATGGGGTCCACAGTATTGCCTGCATTCTCTGAGTTTGATGTGTATATTGTGTGAAACAGCAAATTTGAGAATCCAATCCAAGTGAAGGGATGGACACTGCTCAACCGAACCCAGGAGCCCAATGTTGAGGAATGCCTTCAGCCGCCATACTGGCCACACCCTCTGATGTGTTTCACCCCATCCACCGGGACTTGGTCACAGAGGTCCTCTGTGACCTCAACATTGGACTCCTGGGGTCGGTTGAGCAGTACCCATCCCTTCACTTGTATTAGCTGACACTGGAATCGCTCGGACTCATGCTCCCCACTTTTCACTTGCCGGTGGGGTGATTCTTTTCCTTCCATCCATAGCTTGGAGCGGTGCCATAAGGTATAATTTTCACTAAGCAAATTTGAGAAGCCACAAAGTATATAATGACTTCTTCAATCATCTTTTTGAAACCTCTTTTGTGAGACCCACACTGATCAGTGTACAACCCAGGTTGTAGAGGAGGATGACTCACACATCATATGGCAGCAAAGATTCCTAAATTTATTTCTGCTCAATGAGAGCTTGCAGTGGATTGGGAAGAACTTTCTACAGCAAAAACCTTACATTGATAAAATGTTTCTGCACATTTCCCCTATGAATTATTTGCTTTTGAACTGTCATGTACTAATTATGCTTAGGAATTTGTATTGTAACACCCCTATCCCCAACACACATGTTAAATCTTTAATTTCTAATAGATGATGTTACCCTAAACCAAAGTATATCTGTTTTACAACCCTAACCCTCTTAGCTAAACTGAAAGACTATCCATCCAATGTTGTTTATATAGGTCAAAAATTGAACCCAATGGCTAAGGGCTTGCTTATATTTGCCTGCACACTAAGTCGGGGGCAGACAGACAGCAGTTCATTTTGGGCTGCAGTGACGTGCTGCAGGGGCGGTGTGATATGCAGTTTATTGCACAACTCCCTTTTTTGTAAACTGTAAAAAAAAAATGTGAAGAGCACAAAGTGAACACTTCATTCATGTCACAGCTTGATGTGCAGTGACTTTATTATTATTATTATACAGTATTTATAAAGCGCCAACAGTTCGCTCAGCGCTGTACATTACAATGGGAGACAGTGCATGCGACAGTACAATAACAATACAATGCGATACACAAGAGGTTCAAGTGCCCTGCTCCTTGGAGCTTACAAACAAGGGAGGGGATAGTGGTACAGGAGGAAAAGCTGTGGGGGATGGAGTGGTAGGAAGAGTGGAGGAGGTCGGCAATTAGCAGGGGATGGGGTAGGCTTCCCTGAAGAGGTGGGTTTTCAGGGTGCTCCTAAAGGAGAGGAGAATAGGTGATAGTCTGATGGATTGGGGTAGGGAGTTCCAGAGGATGGGTGATGCCCTGGAGAAGTCTTGGAGGCGGGCATGGGAGGAGGAGACCAGGGATCTAGAGAGAAGGAGGTCTTGTGAGGAGCGGAGAATGCGTTTTGGGTGGTATTTGGATATTAGGTCGGTGATGTAGTTTGGGGCAGTTTTGACATATGGTGTCATCCACTGAGATGCGATATTGTGCAGGCATGCTGCATTGAATCTCAACTCATTGCACTGCACCTTCAGGTTGCGTTGTGGTAAGAACAAGAATATAAATTATATTCTATTTGCACTAGCAGTGACTGGTATCTCTCCAGTGCAAAAAAAACACTGGTCACTGCTCCAGTGACTAAGAAGGAAACATAAAAGTAGCCTTTCTATGTATAGGTAAACCTCATAATCTTAACACTATATACCATACATATGCTCATTACTTATACATACTTCTATGTTTGCCTAACATTGCAGCAC